TGGTGCAGACTCCTAACCCTAATATAGGGCCAAATTTCCCTGGAACAGAGGGCCATTTAGAATAAGACTTCTTTGAGCAGCTTTTTCTGCGCAGCTCATCATTTCTCCCCATGCTAAACACGTTCCAACCATCAAAGTTATGCCAGGACACACCGTTTTTCTAACCCTAACCCTACCCTGGTGCAGATTCCTAACCCTAATATTGGGCTCCAGTTCCTTAGAAAAGAGGGCCATTTTGAAAAATCCTTCTTTGAGTAGCTTTTTCTGTGCAGCTCATCAGTTCTGCCCATGCTAAACACATTCCAACCATCAAAACCATGCCAAGACACCTCGTTTTTCCAACCTTAACCAAAATCCTGCTCTGGTGCAGGACACCCCAAAAGCAACACTCCGCCGAAATCACCCCCACTGATCCGAAGTTACTGCCTCTTTATGTTTTTTCAAAATGGGTAGATTTTTTGTCAATCCTAATTACTCCATGAATGGAATTTGTGTATAAATATGACCTTTAAATGGAGGAATTTTTGAATTTTTTAATAGCACCCCCTATGTTTATTTTGGGTAGGTCGGCCACTTGAACTTATAGGACAGGTGGAACTTGAGAAACCTGGAAAAGTATCCAATGACATCATCCTGTGAAATGCCCAATCTGAAGCATAGAAATACACACATAATAACAACGAGTTCCCAAGAAATATGGTTTGATCCTAAATCAACCTGAATTAGAACTTTGGCTCTGGAAATTTCACTGAGGGGAAGACACTTCTAATTCTCGAGTTATGTTTAGTGCCAATAGGGAAGGAAGTGGGTGTGCGGGGAGAGTGAAAGTGAGTAGCTTACACAAGAGAGGTTAATGAGCCATCACAGAAATTACAACCAGTAGGGGCTCCCTTGAATTAATGCCTAGACAAGTTGTAAATGGTTTTAAAGGACTGCTAATGGTGTGTGGGTTATAATAAGGTGGAGGAAGAGAAGAAGGGGCTTCTAATTGTATCCAACAAATGTGCATAGGAAGTATCTAAGACGATGCTCATCCTGAGGGGCATAGCATTGATGTTTCAGAGTGGGGATGGTGAGTAGGGAAGGTTTGCCATTGAGCCAATGGGTATCAGGAAGTGAACAGAATTACGGACTTGCCAACATTACCTGGGGCCAAGCTCATCCTCACTGCGCCACACGAAATCTCCAAACTTCTCATAGTGGGAGTTGTAGTGATGCTGGACTCGGAAAAGCATGGAAGTCGAGACCTCCATCAAGGTGTTGTAGGCTGTCTGCTGCTCCTTCCCGCTGGTGTAGCCGTTGTACAGGTTGTAGATCTTATCAGCTATCTCTGGAATTAGAGAGGAAAAGAGGTGGACAACGTCCACTAGTCTGGGGAGCAGATTTGAGCTGAAATGTGTATTGAACAAGCTGGTGGTAAGGCAGAAGGCCCCGCTATCCTCGGCAGGCTGAACGTATGTGTAGACAGAAACGGAAGCAGAAGTGGGACTTTGGACCATGGCTCAGTGGCAGAACCCAACCGAAAGTCCCAGATTTAATCTCTGGAATTCTCAGTCCAAACAGAATGCTGGGAACGACTTTTTCCTACCCCAGACTCTGAAAAGCCACCAGCAGGCAAATGAGGCAATACAAGGCGAGATGAGCCAGTCATCTGGCCTAATATTGTCCTTCCCAGATCCTCCAGGCATTCGTAGTGGATTCCCCGTGCCAAGGGCAATTGCTTGCCTCAAAGAGCAGAGCTGAGAAACTGATGCTGGCCTGAAGGAGGCGTGAGTGTGCGATATGGGAAGAGGGAGATTCCATGAAAGGGTGTGCCACCACCGTCATCTTCATGAGGGTCTCCTGAGTCTGAGAACAGTGGCTGTTCTGCCCCGTCACCTTCCCCCAAGTCAACTCAGAAAGACTTATTGTACTAGCCCAAGGCCATGACAAATGCATGAAATGAATGTACATACACAAGATAAACACCGGACCCAAGGAGCACCTGGCAGCATATCAGAGATCCCAAGCCCAATTTGTGAGGAGCATGCATGCCCTGGATCAGGGCCATGAGGAGGAGTCAGGAAGGGCTGGGGCAGTATCACTGGAGCTGGAGCAATGGACCACTTTGTTGGGAGCTGAAGCCGTGGAACGGCTCCCCCGGTGACGGGAAGCATGGTTCGTGCTGTGAGCGTCTGCAGGATCAGGGGCACACACGGGGTCCTTGCAGGGAGGAGAGCCTTTGAAACCCTGCAGCACAGTGAGGAGCGGAAGGCTCTGACCAAGGCCTCCCACAGCTGCTCAGCCTGGCCACAACAGCATGGGCTCCCAGGGTGGTTGCCAGGTCCCGATTCAGAGTCTTCTCCTCAAAGGCGCTTCGCCTCCTGCTAGCTCCTGCTCCTGCCTTTGCTTTTGTCGTGACCTGGCCCAGCCCTTTAGTCCTTCTTGGTATTGCCCTTCACCTCGCCAAGCTTTTTCTTCCTGGTAGCTGACCTCAGCTTGCTTCTGGACCACACCTTTGCTTCTAATTCTGCAATGCTTCATTGAGACCTGACCCTTCTTGACCTCACCTCTCCCTTCTGGACCAGCCAGAACTTGCCAATATCTGTCCTTTGCCCCTTCCTGATTCTGCCTTTACTTCTGGAACTGCAGGTCTTACTAGGTGTCTGCTCCTTGGTTGTTCCTGACTTCACCTTTGTCTCTGGCCATCTCCAACAGCCTCCACCATCCCTGGTCCTGGTGCTCCATCCCTGCTCCCCTGCAGCCGACTTCCCAGGCCAGACACTCTTGCCGTGGTCTGTGCTGGACAGCTCCTCAGAGAACCTGCCCTGCCCTATGCTGGACTGGTTTGATCAGGCATCCTTTGACCCACATGGCTGAGAAGCAGGACGAGACAAGCGCAACCACTTGCCCAGCTGTGCAATGCTTCTTAGCAGCATGGGATGACAAAACAGTTTCCAAGGAGTTTACCCTCTGCCTTGCCGTCATCCACCAAGGGGCAGGCTGTTCTCAAGGTGACTGTGCTAATCTCGGAGTGCCTTCCTCGTGTGTCCACAGCATAGAGGGTGAACCTGGAAGAGAAGCATAAGGGCAAACTGGGGTAGCTGGGCCAGAAAAACGACACCACCATTTGGCACATCAAAAGGCTGAGCAAGAAGACAAGAAGAAGGACCCAAGGCAACACACAAATGAGTAGCATGCTCTAGTGATGACGCTTACAATGAAAATATTCTAAGAGGCCATAGCAAGGAACATACCTGATAAAATGTAAGTGTATCCTTTAAATGGATTAATGTGGAGGCAAAGGACATAAACGGCTGGACCCCTCTAGGCTGCTTTGCAAAAGAAGTACCTGCTGATGAACCCAGGAAGTCCACCGATAGCCTGCACCTTCAGTCACTCCAAAATGGAGTTCCAGAAAACTTTTTTCTCTCTTGCAGACAACTGCACACATGGCCAACTCACATTTCATTCTTAAATTCACAGTGCAGTTGCAATGAGGGAGAAAAGCACAAAGTGACTGAGGCCCAGAACATGTCTTGGCCACACTCGGTGGAAGATGTGGCCCCGGTAATTCCCTGGCCAAACCTTCACCCAACCCCTTTCCACTCCACGCACGTTCCACCTCCATCCTTTCAGAGCCAGGCAAGGCAAAGCAAGGACCAAGGCCTGGCTTTGACCAAGGGCAGGAGCCCATCTGGGTCTGAGCAGCTGCTGTCTTGGAGGTCCAAACTATCTGGCAACAGGGCATCCACTGGCAGAAGACGGATGCCCGCCCCCCAACCCCAAGGCAGCCTGAAGCCTCTGGAAGAGAACTGGGGAGCAGCCATGTTCAGAAGCTGCTGAAGCTCAAAGACTGGTCCCAGTTGTCTCCCTGTGTGTGGCAGGAGCTACACTTGAGTTTAAACACCTTGATGCACACAGAAACATGTTGCCCGTGTGTCTCTCTGTTTTTGACCACGGAATGAGACAAACATAGGACAACCAGGCTGGGGCATCCAGATGCATTCCCTCTCCATTTCCCCACTGCTATTTCAACAGACTTCAGTATGACAACTTGGGATATTCTCATGTGCCAGAAGCAGCTTCTTCATGGCTACAGTCAACTGACCCAGCAGGAGAAACATGGCTGCAGGCAATGATCCGAATCGAAGGAGCATTGAAGCAGCATTACAAGAACTCTGCGTCTCGCCTGAGGTTGCTTTTTCAAACTGTCAGCTTGCATCTTGCTGTGAGAGGCAACAGTGATGCTGGAAAGGGTGGAATACAAGGAAACGCTCTTCGGAGATGCCCACAAGGTGTGTGCTTCACACAGAGATGCAGAGAGAGAAGTGAAAGGCATACGCCGGAAAGGGATGGTGCAGACACGAACCTGATTGGCTTCGGTGCTTATCGGAGTGTAAAGAGACATTATGAGGAGATAAAGCACTAAATGCACATCTCGGAGCAAGAGCAACCGGGCATTTCATAGATTGTGGAGCAAGGAGCTGTGGGCATAATGCTTTTGACTATGGTTCGACCAAAAACATAGCATCATTTCCAGCTTGATTATTCTGGCAGGGTCAGCTACATCTAAGTCTCTCTTCCCTACATAAAGAGAATTTCCATGAAACTTGGGCTGCAAAATTTCCCACCCCTGAGTGTGCAATTTAGGAAGAAAGGGGCTGATTTCCAACATCAGTGAAGAGAGATTGTCTTTTCTTTCTACCGCCAACCGTAAGCTGAGAGGTTTGTCATCTTCCCAGCCCATGTACCATAGTGATGCTATGTGCAGAGTGCTTGTTTCCCCTCTGATGTCTGGCTGCTGAAAGATTATCTAAAGAAATAGCAAGAAAAAAAATATAGGGGAAAGGAAGGCACCTGCGAATAGCTGAGCTCAGTCTCAGGTTTATCCTCCCTGAGATAAATTCATCTCTTGAAACTCTCCATCTGCCGATGAGACCACAAAAACCGGAGGGTTTTGGGTTCAGCCCTACTTCAGTTCAAGAAGTGTTTGTGTGTGAACTGTGCAAGCTCTTAATGGCCTGCATCCAGGATCTCTATGTGCTACCCCAGCCACGAGACAATTCACTGAATCCTTTTTGGATATCTGTAGAAAAAAAAAAATCCCCAGAGGCTACTGCAATTTAAAGCATGTATTTATAAAAATATAAAACAATGTATCCACCAAAGCCACAAGAATGCATTTCCTCTTTTTGATGGCAACTCTGTGATTTGGCATAATTAAGGAACAGCAAATCAGCACAGAAATGCTTCTTCTTGTGGTGGTGAAGCACTAGGAATGGAGTCTCCTGTAGGGCTTCATTCTTTGAGTTGATGTTGCTGCAGCTGAAACAGGCTCATTAACAGACCCTCTGTGGTGACCGGGGATCGGGGTGAGCATTAAGAGGGTATATAGGGCTCTGTCAGGAAAACAACCCACCTCCCTGAAAAACGTGGTGGGGAAGCAAAGGGGGCTGTTTCGAAGAGCAGAGCAAAGAGATAGAAGATCTTGCCATTGGGTCAGAGGCAGCACCACTGCTTCTGAACATCGGAGGAGGAGATGAGTTGGAAGCCTGATGAGAAGGGTTGATTAAAGAGTGGCTATGAGTGGGGAAACCTGCAGGCTTCTCATGGCAAAAGATCTGCCTTTAGGACATCAGTAGCCAATGGCAGCTGATTGGCTTACATGGTATGATTTCCCCAGCTTCTGCTTGTCTGTAGGCCAATAGAACTGGCTGTGAATGACATGGCATCCTGCTATTGATGCACTGACTCCTCCTAGCCTGGGGGTCCCATGGAAGAAGCCCATTTGGAGAGAAATGGCACTGCAGCTGCAGGCTGGGAGGAGGAGAAGCTGTGAATAGGTGTGAATGTGGCTGGGGGTGGAGATGAGAAAATCTGGCCACTTATTTATTTATTTATAATGTGGATCCCACCACATTAGCCCTAAGGCTCCTTATTCCAGCTATCCTTTTGCTCTGGAAGGGGTGGGGGATGATATGCAGAATTTCAGTGAATCTACATTTTCCCTTTCAACTTCTTCACTAGAACCTGAGCAGAAAGGCTGCAGAGAATGGCAAGCCGGTGAAGTCGCAATGTTCTTACCCTCCAATTGGAATCTCTGGGTTCTTGTAGATGGTGGAATGAGGGATACCTTAAGCAGGCCTAGCCTTTGGAGACACATCTTTTTGGAGCTCTCAGTAGCCAGGTTTGCAAGAGGGTGAAACAACCCATAAGGTGACATTGGGTGAGTTCAAGGCGGACAGAATTCCGCCTGGCAAGATCCCACAGGGATGCCGATGCTTGTGGCTACATGCTCGGTAGCATCATTGATTGATTGATATCCTGCCTTTTTCCTACAAAGGGCTCAAGGCAGCTGACATCATTCTCCTCCTCCATCTTCTCCCCACAACAACAACCCTGTGAGGTAGGTTGGGCTGAGAGTCTGTGACTGGCCCAAAGTCACCCAGTTGGCTCCGTGGCTGAGTGGGGACTCGAACCCAGATCATCTGAGTCCCAGTCCTGCGCTCTTAACCATTGCACCACACTGCCTCTCTGTCCCATTTGCCCCATTCTGGGGGAACTGCCCCAGACAAATCTTTCAGACCTGCTCCTGCAGAGGCTGCGACAGCTGCTAGGATCAGTGTTGTTTCAAGGCAAACGTTTGACAAGCCTCTGGCGAGCAGTTGCAGTTAGCCTTGGGGTGAAGATGCCCACAAAGAAATATTCAATGCTAACACTGCCTCCATTAGTCAAACATCTCAGCCTAACTGGCTTTCACATTGTTAGCACAGGAAGTGCCAGAAGACAAAGCTGAAAGCTGTTCAAAAGTGCAAGACCCCTTTGGCAAGAGAGATTCAAGGGAAGGAGGTGATGGGAGCAGACACAGAAACATAGAAACAGAGCGAGTCAGAAGGGGGGGTCTCCCGGGCCATCTAGTCTGACCCCCCGGCTCCAGCCGACAAGTATCTTACACTTAGCAGAAGAGAAAGAAAAGCAGTAATCAAGGAGCTCAGGCAGGAGTGGGTGCCCAAATGGAAGCACCCCCTTTGCACGGCTGTTCACTCCCAGGTGGGCCTTCCAAAGATAATTGCTTTGTAGCTTGGTCGGCTAAGGAAAGCTGAGTTGGCTGATCGCCCAAAGCCTATTTGGAGTGAGGGTGTGTGTCCTGCCCTTGCTCTGATTTGGCATCCTGGCAGTGTCACATAGAGAAGTTTGATTGGTTGTGGGAGACTGGTTTTGTGAGAACCTGGTCATGGTGCTATATAACCATTTCTAAGAGCAGAAGAGGGCAGCTGGATGCTTAGGAAAGGGAAAGAAATCCTACAGGGAAAGTTGTTTCAATTTCCTGGGATGTTAGCTTGCCTGGGGAGCAGAGCAGGTTACATGCATCTCATATCTTGTCCAGCCCTACAAAGCAGGACAGCAGCCTTAAAACAGGGTTAGCTTAGGAAATGCTAGAAAAAGAAGCACTAATCATGGAATCTCACAGAAGTTCCCCAAAACAAGCAACTCTTTTCTTTGAAGCTTTAAATTTAAAATTTGTGAGTCGTCTTGAGACCCATTTTGGATAAAGATGGGGTAAACATGTTTTACATAAATAAATTAATTAACCCTGCAAGCAGGGATTGTTTTTATATGAATATATGTAAGCTGCTATGGAGGGATTTCTGGTTGAAGATGGGTTAAATAAATATCAGCACTAACAACTTTCTAATCTACATGGCTGTAAACACACAGAGAGAAGTCTTAACCCACCAAGTGTCTTGTTCTACAACTCCCATAGTCCCCCAGCTACCATAGCTGACTGGGGAGGTTTATGGGGACTGTAGTCCAACACATGCAGCTTTGGAGAAAGATGGGCTAATTTAGACGTGCCCTAACTGCAACAGCAAACCTTTCCTTGGTCCAAGGTCACTCATCCCACACAATGTGGCAGCTGCCCCCAGTGAGAAATATTGCTTTCACGTCTTCTGGTTTTGACAGTAAAGTAGGAAAGGCTCCTGACATGCATCCCATTCTTGCACCTCTTCTTCCTTTGCTCGGAAGACAATTCCCACCAGTTTAATTATGGCAACCTCCAGGAACA